TTTTGCTAATTTGTTTTGTTCTTCTGTTTCGTATGTAGTAAAGTGCATAGCCCGTAAAATCAAAAGAAAACGATTTCGACTCATAAAAGTGGAAAATACGGGAACACTAAATAAAAAATTCGTTTTCCAGTAATCGTTGATCCTATTTATTTTGATGGTCCCCATATGAAACAAGAGGCCAAGGAATATTTTGAACTCATCTTTACTTAGATACTTTCATGCTGCTATTCTACTTTGTTCAGACATACTCCTTGACAGGATCTCGACTGCATATAAATTAGAGTTGTTCACAACTAATTCATAAAAACGGTCATTAAAAAATAAATTAAAAAAGTCTATGGGTTTATGACTATCCATTACAACTTTTAAACCGGGATTTGCAGAAAAAGGTATTCGTGTTCGATCTGGAGCTGTTGGCAACCATAATTTCTCGGATGTTATGCCTCTTGGAACTTCTTGAACATCCTCATTAGTTTCTTCACCCAATAGATCGTCTTTATCGTTATCGGAATTACTTTCACTTTCACTAGCGACAACAAGATCGAATTCGTTGTCTGACTCTTCAAAATAATTTAATAGTTCAGCTTCAGTTAGAGATCGATTATCCTTTCGAAATCTTTTCGAAGTAGATGGCTGATATAAACCTTCGTCTTTGTTCATGTTGAAACACTCCAATTTTCTAGCTGAAATAGGATCTTTTTAAAATAATTGTTGGTATTTGGGTCACTCTGTTGTTAACAGTTAAATCAATCAACCTAATATTTGACCATATTTAAATATATTACAACTTTCAATTCCCTAACTACCTAAAATAGTAAAAACAAAATTTTTGGGGATTTGTAAAACAATTAAATTTAATAATGCACAACATTCGTATATATTTAAACATATTGCAACACTCTAATTTTAAATTTATCTAAAGTAGGAATACACTTTTTATGTAAGTATATATTTTAGAGTAAAATAATTAAATCCAATAATATTTGAACATATTGCAACATTGCAATTGCCAAGCCGACTTGAAAAAAAAAACATATTTTAGATTAGGTAGGTCATCTTTTCAATATAATGTAGTAAAATAATTAATTTCAATAAAGGACAACTTTCATTTTTATTGAATTATACAACTATTAATTATTTATAAACTCACTTTTTTCACTACTTTACGAAATAACTAATTTAACCTGCTATACGCCAAATTTTAAAACCACACCTTTTCTTTAGCTCAACTGACGTTGTACTGTGTGCCTACCCACATAAACAGTCTGTTAAACAGTACATTTAATAATAGAAACATTAATATAAGTAATTGAAAAAGGGTATCTTACTGTGCAAATATGGTCGTCTTGACCCACTACGGGCCAAGACAACTAAAACAAGATGTATTTATATATTTTTTATTAAAGTGTATTTAAAATGCATAAATAAAGACTTATTTTCAAAAAAAAAATTCTGAACATAGTTTTCGAAGAAAAAAATCGTGGGTGCGTATACGCACGCTTGGCCAAAAACAGTTAATATTATTACAATGAAAATTTTTTTTTTAAGTGGAAATTTCCAAAGCCGTCTGGGTGCAAATACACCTTATACTTTTTACACAGATAAATACTGTTACTTTTGCAAAGTCGCCACTTTTTCCTTGCACTATTTACCTTCCTAATTATGATATGTCCGATGTTGTCAAATCTTACATCAGCTGGAAGAGCAGATTTGGAGGCTCTTCCTCTGTTTAAAATGGATACTGTAGTATTTGAAGTAACATCGATGTTCCGTCAAGGAGAGTGCTAAGTTCGAGCGAACTTCTACTTGTGACATTGTGGATTCATTCGCTATATTAAAGATT